AGCACTTATTTATGATCGATTATGTGTCTGTTGGCTCATGGTAAACACCTCAATGGGTCTTTGTACTTGTAGAAAGCGTCATCTTTGAGTTTGAGTTTTCCATTCCATTGTTGGTTGGATTTTGGCAAGCAATCACAAAGATCTTTTTGATGCTTCCCACTCTTGCTTGACCCTTGGTCTCTTTTGCGAGATTGTGGGTGAGAACACAGAAGAGATATGCAGTGCTTTGCTGCTCCCACTTCTACTTGTGCTCAGTCGATATGCAGCCAGGTTCACATCAGGACATGCACTTAAAGAGCCATCTCCGAAAATGCTCTCAGTGATGAAGTGGTCTGAAATCCCACTTGATCTCTCCAAAGTGGGGCTCACTCAAGAGCCATTAGCTGCGATTGGCAATTTGCCCCAATTATTTGCAGACTTTCCGAATATATTACAGTCCCCTTGCATGTGTGTGTTTACGTGCCTTCCTGAAAAACCCTTAAGCCACAAAGCTCTCCAGTAGACTGTCCTGTACAATCATGCTGATGCCTGGATTTTTTTTCTGCTCAAGTCTCATGGGAAGTAGAGTCTTTTTACTTTAGCCTCTACTTTTACTTCACTGTCTCGTGGTGACTTGGCCAGAGAGTGTTTTGCTGTGTGTTTAGTTCCATACATCTTCTTTCAGCATGTGGCCACTGGGAAAAGAACCCAAAACGTCTCAGCTGAAGAACTGATTTGGTATCGAGTGTCAATATTGGGCTGATTCCAGCAGAAGACACTGGATCGGATATGGGAGGAGAAAGAACAAATTTAATCAGATTGTGTAACGCATTGTAGTGCAACATAAAGTGAAGTGAAGGTCACAGAACAGCACAAGTATGAAGCCTAATGTTAGTGTAAGTTAATGTTTCTCATGGTACTTTCAGATGGCAGTCTTAGGCGAATTGCTACAGTTGAAAATAATTGATTTTACAGCTCAGATTAAAAAAATATAATAATAATTCAGATTTGGTGTCAGCCGTTACTCAAGATTTAAGTACTGGTACTGGTATCAGACAAGAAGAGTGGTATTGTGTCATCCCTAGAGATAATATCAGCCTCTGTTACTAGTGTTAGCTGCTGCTTATAGGATCATTTTAATCATTTTCTTTTAATGGAAATATTGTGTGCCACCGCAATCCATGCAGAGTATTAAGTTGGAAGATATTAAAAGGACAAAAGGTAATTCAAGCCATGAATGAATTAGATGAAAATTGCCAAGTCATTGTCAAGTTGACAATGAAATACACTTGAAAACTGTATGCAGGTTCATGTGTTCATTTGTTATATGCGTTTGAGTTAAAATGGTGAGCTTACTTGTTTCCATCTTGTCGTATTCCAATATAATGATCTGGAGGTGTTTTAAGTATATAAGGTAATGGTGTAGAGCTGATACAATTACTCAGTTAAACTCAATTAAAAAAAAAAAAACATCTATATAAATTTACTTCAGCTATGATCAGTTTTCAGTTTAGAAGATGATAATGCGCAGTTTAAATATTCCTGGTTGGATCTCTTACAGAATTTTTTGTCATATACTTTTCTTCTTATCCTTTTCTAATAAAGTATTTCGAAATCTTTGTGTGATTTGTTATTGCTCATTTAAGTCCACTTTTATGGATTGGCCCTTTTTAATCATCAAAATAATTGGTCGATTACTTGGTTATTAATGTACTTGACAATGACAGCTACGTTTGTAATGATTCACAAAAGTCATGATTCATGAGTCATTCATCTCCATTTGATACATTTTTCAATACAGCAAAAATAGAGAAAGGCTGAAAGTGTGCCTTACATTCATTTGGTAATGTTTACATTTTCATTTTATGAAAGCATTTAACATTATAAATTTACAATATTTAGAACAAAAGTGTCCCAATCTAGCCCTAAGCTAACATACTAGTCACGATACAACAATATGATAGGATTTGTTGCAATACAGTGTGATTCAATATGATTGTATTGTTATTCCTAGTGATGGCCATATAAAGGTGACAGTGGACGCAACCCACACTGCCTCTAACTGTCTAAAGCATTCATCATCAGCTCTCGTCTTCCATTAGTTTTACAGGGCTGGTAAATCCTTTGCTCTGGTGCTATAGTTTAATGCTGTCACAGTATGGTTAATCAGGGGGTATTATGGCACAAAGGACTGAAGCGTGCTGGTCTGCCAGCATTGTTGGAGTCACAATAGAACGACTGATACAGGAGAATGGCTTCCTGCCAAAGCAGATGAACACAAAAGACAAATCCAGAAGTGTCCATCTGCGGCAAAGCATATCACCAGAGAGGAAGAGAGAGAAAGAGAGAGAGTGCATTTCATCAACTTCATGATCATTAGACATTACATCACCGCTCATTACATAACTTCTTTTCAGTGACTGACAATAATGTCTTAGCAGACATTAATGTCTCTAGCCAAGTATTTTGTTAAATACTGACTGACCTGTTCTGTTGTACTGTGTTCTCTTCCATTCGATTTTCTGTTCAATATACTAGTGCTTACTAATCTAACATTTATAACGCGTCCTCTTTAGCTCAGGGCATTGGAATGTAGGCATGGAAAAGTCTGACATACTATAAATGACAGCCTAGTCATGAAATAATGATGATCTGTAACATTGTATTTGAACACTGCTACATAACACTAACAATGCCTTAAACATGCCATTAAAGATTGCCATGAGTTGTCATGACAGTTTGTGTTCGGTAATATAACAGGGTTGTGTTACATTACTGGTAATTGCCATGGCATTTGTCAAAGTTTGATGGCTGACTCCACCAAATCCACCATATTTGTTGTTTTTAAGGGCTACACATTCCCACATTAGTAAAAAGCTCTAATCTACAAGTAAATAAACAAGTTAATGATGACTGGACCAAAAACAAAGTTGTTAATGATGAATGAACCAGTAAAAATGGTCCAAAATTATTTGGAATTAAAGCTTGTCACAACATAGATTACAGATAAACATCTAAAATCCCAGGTGCATGACATCCTGAGGCTGATTATTCATAAATAACAGTGCACTTACTTAACAAATAGGCTTATTCTCAAGTTATAGCAGTGTGTAATAAATGCTTGGACCTAACAGCAGGTTCTGGCCACTTAAAGAGTTAATAAATTCAACATTTCAGAGATCCAAGGTTTTCTTTAGTCAGTGATATGCAAGTACATATCACCACAAACACTGCAGTATGTGTCCTCAGAAGTTCCACCTTTGATACACCGCCATATGAATATTTTAAGCTTTTGCTTGTTGGAGGAGACTTTCCCTGTCCATCCGCCTCACCTCTCTCCCTCCTTGTGGCTCTTGTAGTTGGTAGTAGCTACAGATGTAGCAACATCATGCACAGGGTTGAGCAAAATACTGTGAAAAAGTAGTGATGGCTGAATACTGAATACACTGGCCTAAATGTATTCCATCACAATACATAAAAAGTGTTTAGAATAGATCTAGAATACAAAGTGATAAGTTACAAAATTCATAATGTTATTTTGGATCTCATAGCCTGCTTCAGTCCACTGCTGCTCCCACAAACCCACTTCTGTCTCAAGAACTAAGTGAACAATTGACCTATTTCAATTACAAAATCTTGCAAATTTGACTATAAAGTGAGTTGCTAGGTGATTTTCAGTTAATAAAGTGTATATAACTTGCTATGAAATGCATGCAGTCCAGTCCAGTACAACACCAGTGCTAAGCTTATCACTTGTGTCCACTCAGTTCAGTCATCCTTCAAAAGAGTTTCATAACACTGAGATTAATAAGTGATCAGCATGTTCATTTATCAGTCTACTCAGGCTTTAGCAGAGCTCAGTAACACTGTGATTAATAACTGATCATTACATTGATTTATCAGTCTACTTAGGCTTTAGCAGAGCTCAGTAACACAGATTAATAACTGATCATCATATTGATTTATCAGTCTACTCAGGCTTTAGCAGAGCTCAGTAACACTGAGATTAATAACTGATCATTACATTGATTAGTCTACTCTGGCTTTAACAGAGCTCAGTAACACGGAGATTAATAACTGATCACATTGATTTATCAGTCTACTCAGGCTTTAGCAGAGCTCAGTAACGCTGAGATTAATAACTGATCATCACATTGATTTATCACTCTACTCAGGCTTTAGCAGAGCTCAGTAACGCTGAGATTAATAATTGATCATTACATTGATTTATCAGTCTACTCAGGCTTTAGCAGAGCTCAGTAACACTGAGATGACAAGATGTAATTTGGACTGAATGTAAATACTTAATTTATGCATTCTGAATAAATATTCCCAGTACTTGTATTCTGTTATACATCCCAACCCTGACTGTGCATCTATCCTGATGGTAATGTGGGCGACAGGCCTTAGGGAAGGCCTTTACTGGTGAATCTGGCCATTAAGTTCATGTTATTCATTTTTCAGCATCAGAAAATCAGCCTCACCATTAAATATAACATTTTCAGTATTGAATTGTGCTTCTCACGATCCAAGTAATCCCAAACACATTCAGTTCTTTTCAGGTCTGGACTCTGGAGTGGAAATTTCCTTTTCTCAGTAATGTCTATTTGACAGTTGAACGTTTAGAATCACAGATTGTTGAGGAAGGTTGGACAGAAACACATGTGGATGTTTTAGATCTTAACCAAAAGCAGAGCTTGTTTTTCTCCCAAAGATGACCGTTCTCGCAAATATGAAAGCTTTGAGTATTTTAGCTTTTTTATCTGACCTTAACCCAATTTCTCTGTACCCTCTAATAATTCTAAGAATTCTGGTTTTGGAAACTCCTCTTTTTTGTTTATTATTATTTTTTATTTATTTATTTTCCTTTGGCTGTTTAACTGGAATAAATAAAAGGGACACAGTGCAGTATCAGATAGCTAACAGCTAATTGTACAATAGATGTGAGGGCCTCCTGTTTGGTTGGGAAGTGTGCATTTGGTGGTGAGCTTTTGATCTCAGATTTTTCCTCTGCTCCACAGGGCCTTACCAACACCCTGGCTATCGGGGAGAAAGTGGCCATGACCAAGCGTCCATTGCCTGCTTTCGCTGCCGAGAGGTGTGCAAAGGAGAGGTGGTGCGGGTGCAGAACGTCCACTTCCATGTCAAGTGCTTCACCTGCCAAGGTAAAGAGCTCCCTTTTTAATGTTATATTATAGGAACATTTAACACAAAAACAATGTTCAGCCTGTTTTCATTTACAGGTGCTAATTGGGTCCTACTGGCATTATTCACCAATGTATAAGCCTCTGTCTGTACTGGAATGGAATGACGCTCTCTGTAAGATGAGCGTTGTTGTTCAGTTAGCCTTAAGCTACACAAAGAAAACACAAGGACATTGAGCTTCAAAGAGTCCAAACGCACAAGCAGGCCAATGAGACTCTATGGGTGTGCTGAGCCTGCAAATTACCTGACCAGTTCATGTGAATTATTATATGCAATTCAATGGATTTGGCCATTGTTAATATTTAATGGCAACCTCTGGGACTGGGTATTAGACTGAATCTTGGGGGATTTGGCTGATTGGCCATTTCTTTTGTCCAAACCGCCAAAGGCTCACATGGTTTCTTGTTTATCATGCGAGCTGTTGCTGTGGCAACCATGTTAAGGGGCAGCTTGCCTGCAATGGTGGTTGCCATCAACAGGCGCCGACCAATGGGAAGCTTTCTCTTAAGATTAGACTCCAGTAATAGGTGGACGAGCCCTATATCTCGCCATCATGTTTTTTTGTTTTCTTAGTTCAGTTTTGCTCAGTATCTCTCTCTCTCTCTCTCTCTCTCTGTCTCCCTCTCTCTCTCTCTGTGTGTCCTTCACTGTCTCTCTATTCACCCCAACCATAAGCAAGTTCCATAAGCAGTGATACTAGTATGATTGTCTGCCATATCCATTAGAGGAAAAGTGAAGCAGAGAGAGAGAGAGAGAGAGAGATACTGAGCAAAACTGAACAGGTGTCTCTGACCTCTAGTTCTTCTGGCTGCCGCCCCTCATGTTTTATGAACTACACGTCTTCTCCATTCTCCTCACACACTCCCTCACTCAGGTCAGATCTAAGGTTTCTGCCGCACACTTCCAAATCCCTGTTGCCCCAAATAAATTAGGTTTATTTGTCTCTGTCATCCACTGTCTATGTCCAGGAGGTGGTAGGGGAATGAATCACACTCACAAGAGCAAGCAAGCATGTACACACACACACACACACACACACACACACACACACACTTGTTTTTATACAATGTTAGGACACAAGTCACACTAGTGTACAATGTATATTCAAGCATCTACATTTAATAATAATGTAATTAATAATGATATTTATACACAAGTACCTACATATAATAATAACCACAAAAACTACAACTTCCCGTATATAACTACCTATACCTACCTATATAAAATAGTAATACATGTCATATCTATTGTACATAGATGTACATTTTGGCAATTAACTGTTAACTAGCAAGTCTAAAATCTAACTACACAACCCATCAAAATATCAGTCATAGAGCAAATAGTTCCTCTTCTGAATCTGATAGGCTGAAACACATTTGAAACCATTTTAATATACTCCACACATTTATGTATGTACACTTATAATAACACCCAAAAACTGTGCTTAAGAACCCTGTTTGGTTTAAACTGACTATAATATATTGACTATATGACAAAACCTAAAACGTTGATGAAACAACTGAAATCGTATAAAATGTTAGGCAATTGAAAGTTCTACATGCTAAAATACTAAAGTTATATTTTCCACTCAATGCTACATATATAAAGTTGAAACAAACATGCTGGGTCTAGCTTTGCCTCAGTGTAGCTTAGAATGCCACATCCTTCTCTTTAGGACATGGACGAAACAGTTGTCTGTTTCGTAACTTGTAAATGTTAGCTTTTCTTATGGTACATCGCTGTGGTTGTGCTATTGTCTTCTATCGTCCACCATTATTATAAGCTAGAAGTTTCTTTTTCAGTCAGCCTATCTAGCAGAATCATTTGCCTATGGCACCTTCATGCGTACGTTTCAAAAACGTTCTTCAACTTACATGATAAACCTGCTTCAAATAGGAGTTTTTGTTTATTGGAAGTGTTTTAATCAATAACATTGGTCAAACAGTTGTTTGTCAGTTAAAAGTTAATTGGTACCTATTAACATGCTATATGTATGTAATAAGATTTTTCTAACCCTAACCCTGACCATGACCAAAACAAGATGGTTTTGATCTTTAGTTTTATCTTTTAAAAAATGAAAACATTCTGCTTTTCTAAAAACACTTCACAAAGACATGATCAGCTTTGTTTTTCTCTGGTTTTAATAGAAATTTTGAATTTTTTTTTTGGCCTAAAAATGTATGAAAACACTCACACAAATAATCATACAGCCACTGATCTAATGCTTGTTGTATGGGCACTTTTGCCAGGAGTAGCCTGCCATCTTTATCGACCTGCCATTCAAAGTCCATGAAAGACTGAGGTACCCAAGCATAGCAATCCCACAATGCAGTCATATTGAGGACCCATCAGTTGCGAGATGCCAATAAAGAAGGTCTGTACTCTCAGCGCTGCTCCAAGTCATGCATGAAATCGATTTCCACTTCCCAAACAAAAAGCCACTGATGAGTCACATGGCACGCCATAGGACCGTGTGCTCGTTGCTCATCAGCATAAAACAACAACAACAACAACAACAACAACAACAAGAACAACGTCAAAATGCACCAAGGCCATGGCAGCCAGAGGCCCATGTCTGCTCAACCTCATGAAAGCAGAAGGTGCAGGAAGGCTTCTGTATACTTATGAATTTAGACTTTAGTCTACAGGAATGCAGTGAAAGCATGTGCCACAAAATCTATATTTCAGCTTACATAAAGTAATTACATATATACACCAGTGGGGAACCTACAGGGCCTTCCAAAGGCCTGATGATTTCTGAGATTAAAAAAATAATGTCTGTAGTTTTTAGTTCATTTAATAGAATACTATGCTTGTTGTATTTAAATACTGCAATGATTGTAGTAATACTCTTATTTCATTGTTATAAACCTTGAAACGGCCAATGGAAAATGGTACAATTATGATTTTTATTAATGTAATATTTAGGCTGAGGTCTCCTATTTTTAGGCCTTCAGAAGCTGGACAGAGCACCTTACAAGTTAGATTAACTGCCATCATCATTAGGAAGTGACTGTCACATTTTGCTTTACAAAATTTTGTGATTCAGTTAGTTGTTAAAAACGAAAGTCAAAAATTCGATTTATATAACGCTTTATAGGCGTTGTCATAAAGCAGCTTCACAGAAAATCTGGGCCTGAGCCCGGTAAGCAAGCCAAGGGTGACAGTATCAAGGAAGAACTCCCTAAAACAAGAGAAAGACAACTTGAGAGAAAGCAAGACTTAAAAAGGGGAACCCGTCCTCCTCTGGTTGACACCAGATAGCTATGGAAAACAGTGGCAACTTCATGCCAGGATTCTTTTCTGAAAGAGTCACTGTAAAAACTCCACTATACAAGATAAAATATATGTTAATGTTTATTACAGACTAGAAATAAAAGTATAGAACGTCTTATACAGGCTTCAAATGCTTGTGTTTAATTGAGAACAGCCATAAAATCATGCCACGTCTGTCTGTCTATTTAGCATAAACTATTCACACAAGATAAAGGACAAATGGTGTAAAAAGGGGAAAATTGCAAGATTTTGTTTCAACAGCAACAGTTTGTGTTGCAACATTGAATCCCAGGGTCAGTTTTGAGAGTGTACATTTTGTTAATCAAACATTTTAAGGACAGAGTGTCAGAATTTAGGCTAATAAAACAACAGATTTAGAAAAAATCCTTTTTGTTTCCATGATTTTAGCCTCACTTTTCTCACATATTCTTCTATTGGTCATCCGAATTGGCTGAAAGTCGAAGTTTCGGACTTCAGACTTTAGACTAAAATCCTTTTGCTTTGAAACCCTATACATTATTTATGTTTATTTTATTAAAAGATATGACTGAACATTCCATTTTGTCACTAACAAAACAAGCATAACACTTTTAGCTCATTTTGAGCATAACTCAAGAACTCTATCCAGTACATGACTAGCAAACACAGCTTTGAAAAGTTGTACACACATAAAACCATGTATATATATATATATTTTTTATTACAACACAAAATCATTTTCTTCCTGCTCTAAAATGCAGGGGCGTGGCTAAAGTAAGCCTCTGCCTATGGACTAAAACTCTTTGGCTTCGTTCACATTACAAGCCTCATTGCTCAAATCAGATTTTTTGCTCAAATCCAATCTCTCTAACACGATGATTCACACTTGTTTACATAAGTGATTCAAATCTGTCATTTATGTGAACGAACCAGTGTCCTGAAATGACCCGCATGCGCACATCCTACTCAGTAACGTCACGTGAATGAATCACGTGCATCACGTGCATCTTCAGCAAACAAACTAACAAGCAGAACGAGCTTCGCTGAGAAGATGATTAACTCTGATCAGCTCTCAGCTGTTCATTATTAGAGCAAGGCGAAGGTGAAAAAGGTGAGATGTGTTGCTTTTCCACCGTTCATAGGCTTTAACTTTTGTTCGGCACTGCTGCCATGGTAACGCTGAATGCGCACACGCAGTGGAAAAAAGCGCAGAAATTACGGTCTGAGCGTCACATTAAGGTCGCATGGCCACAAATCAGATATGTATCCGATCTAGGACCACATTCAAAAGTGGCTCAGGTCGGATTTGAAAAGATCAGATTTGTGTGTCCACACAGCCCTGAAAACATCAGATCTGAGTCACATTAGGGCAAAAAATCAGATTTGTGCCACTTCAAACTGGTAATGTGAACGTAGCCTTTGTGTTTTGGTAGTGACATAATGTGTTTTTTTGGATAATTTTTCAAAATCAAACTTATGATAAATACAGTTTTTTCAACTTTCACTTTAAAAGAAATCAGAAAGATCTTTTAAAAAATACAAAAAAGTATTTTGTTCACAAGTTCAAATTTAGGGGTTAGGGATTGGAACAGAAACCTCCCAACACAAAGTATCCATTAAATCAGTTTCTCAGCCCTGGTCTTGGAGGTTCACTGCTCTGCATTATTTTAGTGTTTGCCCTGCTCCCAACACACCTGACCCA